CCAGATAATGGGCTAGTACCGAGGTAGCCTCGAATATGTGCTTGTATGTGAAGTTGCGCTCGGGTGTCTTGCTGGTAGCCGTCTCTACCACGCATGGCCGCTCGGGATGCTTGCGAGCATTGCCTGCGAAGATCTCGTGGATGGGTCCCTTGAAATCAGACCAGTGGAGGTCCGCAGTCGGATCCGGGATGCTTCCTTTAGTAAGTGAAGCCATTGTCGCGCGTACCTGTTCCTGCATGTTCAAGGAAATATATGGTGGGGTCGCGTTGTAAGTGTGCGCATGCGCGTAGATGGTTCGCGGATGTCAATTGGGATGTGACTGAATGCAAGAAGGTATGAGATCAAGGCTTGGAGTGATGATTGTTTTCACAGCCTTTGAAATTGAAGAACGGAAGGAGATTTTGGAGTCATGGACACCACAGTAAGAGAAGAGGTATGACGCATCCCGTCAAAATGCTCGACTCAGGCGACATCGGCCAGGGCGACCCCCACCACCGAAGGCTCGAAACGCGTGGGATGTCTGGGTCTGGGGCGCATCATCAGCCCTGCGCTAGCCTTGCACCTCGCCCTCGCCAAACTGGAAACGTTCCCTTAGCACGACGCGTCACCCGGCGTGTCAACTGGTGCAACTATCTGCAACCTCTGCGTCTTTTTGTGCCTTTTTGTCGCTCGTTACGTTTGCTTCAAAGCTTGTTCGCATCGCCTAGCGGAGCTGAGTTCGCGCCGCATTGCCTTCAATCAGCAACATCAGGCCCACCACGGATACCGGCTCCAGTAGCCTGAAAGCGCCCATGTCGCCAGAATTGCCATAGTCTGCCTTGTATTCACCTCACTACACCCGATTGTGCCATGCCGACTCAGCATACCTTCATGGGCCGGCCCATTGCGCTGCAGATGCCCCCGAGGAGGTTCCAGGTCATCATCATCCTTCTGCTCTTCGTCATAGTAAACTTTACCTTTTACGGAACCCCAACACGCGACAGCATTCCGACCTATGACGAAGTCGCCGATGCGGTCAAGCACCCGCAAGCTCACCTGCCTGACTTGGGCGAGCTGCCAGCTGTGCCCAAACCCTTCGGTCCCTCAGCACACAAGCCACCGGTTCAGGCAAACAGTACCACGGCCAGTGCTTACGGCGCTATAGAGTGGCTCAGCGATTTCAAATGGCGCAACCCTTTCTCCTCCCGCGTAACTCTCGACGAGAACACCGCTCTCCTACCACCGCTACGCGAACGACCGCCGATTTACACATACTACGACGTACCGAAGAAGCAGAACAAGGAAGTGTCTGCGGCAGAACAACGGCTGATACTGGCATGGCGACGGGCATGGTGGGCGCAGGGCTTCAAGCCTGTCGTACTGTCGCGGGCTGAGGCTATGCACCACCCACAATACCAGCTGTTCCAGCGCATGAAGCTAGATCCCAAGATCGAGTTTGAGGTCATGCGCTGGCTGGCCTGGGGGCACATGGGTGGCGGCGTTCTTGTCAATTGGCTCGCACTGCCCATGGCCGAGTACGAGAACCCGATGCTCAGCTTTCTGCGACGAAACGAATACGCCAAGCTGTCGAGGGTCCAGACCTTGGATAACGCCATCTTCTTTGGAGATCGAATGATGGTCGATGACGCGATCAAGAAGGTCATGGGCAACGAGCTGCTCAAGAATGTCACCGCGAGCAAGGATAAGCTGTTGAAGCTCGCCAAAAAAGAGGGTGGAGCGATTGTCAATCTCCTGGACACGAAGGACATGGACGTAGACAGCAAGGCCAACGGCATCGCATCCTACAACATGCCTACTATTTCCAGCAAGTACAAGACGGTCGCTGATAAGTTTACCAACACGACACAAGCCGAGGCCCTCGACTTACTCGCCAACCTCGTCAACTCGCATCTCCATCTGACCTGGCAAGAACAGCATCCGGAAGGTGTGGTAATCGTCAAGCCTGCGCCGGAGCACACGACTGTCCTTTTACGCGAAACAACGGACATTGCGCGTAACCTTACTCAATGTCCGATCACCCCAATGCCCAAGTCATGCCCGCCGAACCGACCAAAGTGCAAACCATGCGATGCCAACAAAGGAATGAAGCTTCAGCTGTTCCCAGAATTTGTGAACACGACCAAGTTCTTCACGATTGGAACCGTTCCCCATCCATATACGCTTACCTCGTTACACTACACACGCGACATGATAGACAAGAACTTCTTACGCAACAGCGCGGCACGGGACCTGTGGATCAAGAAGCTGACGGACAAATCTATTCCGGACGACCACACTGAGGAGTACCGCGTACTCAAATTCAAGGAGCTTGTAGCAGCGGCTCCCGCTCATACCCTATGGCTCACAGCCGAGCGCATCACCCAAGACGATCTGGACTGGATCTTCGGCTTCGGTCTACCCCAGAATGCGTCTGCGAATGCCGAGCCCAGTTCGCCCAGCAAGGAGTCCGAACTCATCGTCTTCCCCCGTCCCGAACCCCCCAAGCCCATCGAGGGTATAGATATCCCGGACGAGAAATGGTTCGAGAAAGAAGAAGAGCGCTTGAAGAAGGCACGCGAGGCCATCAAGAGCAAGGACAGGAACATGAAGCTAGTTGTCGAAGCCGTGGAGCAATGGAACTTGGCGGATACCGAGGCCTGGAGGTTCTCGCGCGCCTACTCAGCGAGAAGGCGGCAGGAGCGGAAGAAGTGGGAAGAGGAAGAGGCCAAGTTCTCGGGTAGTGAAAAGAAGGCTGGCGTTAGACCTGGAGAGGGCGGTGGAAGATGGACCGATCGGAGTTGATTCAGTTAGCGATTTGGGTTGTTCTATAGGAGTATCTATTGGCGTTCTTGGGGTATGTTCAATACTAGCGTGTACAGCTTAGAACTAGTGTCTGGTTAGAACGTGAGACTGGCTGGACCATGTCCGTACAGCGGCGAACATAGGAAGAGGCTGTAGGATGTTGCAAAAAGAGATGGGCATCCGCTTGCATAGGCAAAAAGAAGGTCAGAAACATACAACAATGGGGTACATTCGTAATGGATAAAGCCAAACGGTGCTAAGGCGGTCTTGCGAGCGGATGACAACACGAACTGTCGTGACATCAGCAGCATCCCCCGAGAAATTCCTGTGTTGGGACTTTCTCAGCCTCGTGTAGCAGCTAACCCATCCTGCAGTGCCTAGCCTCTACCAAGGTAGACAGTGGCGTGCAGGCGAAGCATCTGGAAGAGAGACGGAGGTCCCCGGGGACATCAGCTGAATAGTGGTGGATTGGGATAATGAGCAGCAGAAAACCGGTGTATGATCAATACACGGTGTTAGGCCTAGAGGGTGGTACACTGCCTACCACCCTGGTAACTTCGCTTCAGAGCAGCGCAGGCTATTCGCTCAGTTCCTAAGAACATTACATCACTTCCAGCCACTGGCTTATGAGCAAGAAATCTCTTTGATGCAGTCTATGCATGCGGCGCAGTCAGAGTTCTCGCGGTAGAGCACTTGCGGAAACCCTTTACGCTTCAGTCCGTCATTGCTATTGTTTCGGTATACCACCTAGGTAAGTGAGAGTATTTCATCACATCCAAGTTGCCTTGTCAGATCCCTGCCTCTTGAGCTCGCCTCAGGATCTTTGTGCTTAATGTCAGGAGAAATTTTATTATTATTTGGCAACCCGCATAGAATTCAGCCTCGGAGGCGTGTTGGACTCACCGGCCGGTCACCCAGCCTCCGCCACAGCTCCTCGAGTATATATTGCAGTTCACACAACTCCTTCATATCACTCGATATCTTCACTCCCATGTACTTTAATCTACCCTACCAGCATCAAACATTGATGGCTGCATCTCCCTCTCAGCAGCCTTGGACCTTCGACGTTAGTTCTCTCATCGTGCTGATAAGCGAAGATGAAGAGCGCAACTATCGCCTGAGTCGGCGCTCTCTCCTGCAGTGTTTAACTGCCGCGCCAGTTGTCGGACTGCAAAATTACGTCCGCTCCTACGATCTATTACTCGAACCTAGCACAGAAACTTATTTCTCGCCGTATGGCGTGAAAAGCGCACCTCTGCGCAACATTCGATTGGCAAATGCGCTGAAACATAACAAACTATTGGAAGATAAAAGATACACCGTTCTCAGCATACCTGCGACGCGCAGAGAACAAGACTGCGCAAGCCGCTCTTCAGAAATCCTCATCGCGTGCTGGACGGCTACGACATGGCTGCTCATCGCAGGCTTACTGGTCGCTATCCATGAAGTTCCTGGGACCACATGGGTGTCGTACGCTACATGCGCCGCGTTCACAGGGTGGTCGATCATCCTGCGCCTCATCGAGTACTTCAACGTGGTGCCCGCACCCGCCGAACGCCGGAATGTACACGAATCCGACGCGCCTGACGCTGTGTTTATTATGGGTCGCAACAACTCCGCCTTTGTGCTCAAAGGAAGCCGTAAAGACGTGAAAGATTGGACGAGTTGCGGGTTGATGTACCGCGAGGCTCCGTGCGGCGTACCATCGTCTGTGTGGCAAGGCTTCACTCGCATGGCTAGCCTGATGGTGTTGTTGTTCATCTTCTCAGCGGTGCCAAATGGAAGTACACTAGATCAGGTTGCTTTCATTATCCTAAACGCGGTTGCGCAACTCCATGTGCTCGTTGGACAGCGGCTGAACAGTCGGTGGGTAATGGCAAGGCTAAAGAAAGAAGAGGACTCGAGAGTGGAGACCAGAACACATGTTTATGCGAACCTGATCAGAGAATTCAAGGATGCCGAGAGCGAGAAGCAGTGGGTTGATGCGTCGGGGATTTTGCCCAGGACCGAGGTGTGGAAGGAATGGAAAGAACGGGTTGTACACGATGAGGGAGACGATCCAAAGAAGTTGTATCGCGTGATTTCAGATGATTTTGAGAGCAAGAGCAAGAGCAGAAATGGAAGTTTAGGTGATATGGATAGGTTTGTTGAAGTGAAAGAGAAAGGTCGATAGCGCAGCTACAGGGGAGTACATGTTGGGCCGCACCTCCTCGCCGTCCTCAGCGTAGTTCGTAAATCCACTCTTCCTCCGTCCCGTAAAATCGCCGTCGCACTGCTTCCCCATCCATACATCCGTGTACATAACTCTCCCCTTTGAAGACATAGAATGTCTCTTCGTCTTGTTTGAATCTCTGCTTCGGGGTTTCCTTCCTACCACGCTGCTCTTTAACTTCTTCTCGCTCCTTGTCCCTTCGTTCCTTATCTTTGGCAAGTTCCTTGTTGACTATCTCTCGGGCGTCTTTCACGTCTTGCTCCCAACTAGAGACTGCTGTGGTGTCTTCTCCTTGTTTCATGTACTTCTCTTTTTGTTTCTGATATCTCTTCCTGCACACGAGGGTTTTCTCCAGTCTCTGAACGCACGACTTGAATGCCTGATATTGATCTTCGAATCTTTCTTTGTCTCTGTCTCCGTCCTTCTTTTCTTGGGCGCGCAAAATAACCGGAACAGTACATCCATGTAGAACGCATACCAGATCCCCTTTTCGGACGTCTTTACCAAGTCCTAGCCTACCTTCTTTGGTTTTGAAGAGAGACCGGCCCCAGATGACGGCATGAACCCGCCGACAAAACTCCGCAATGATGGAATTTCGTTCGTTGTTGATCAAAGCCGTGGTGTTCACACGACCACTTTCCCGCCCACCCTTATCCACGGATTCTCTGCACGCTCTCGCATAGTAGTATGGTGGGTTACGGTTATCGATTCCTCTGTCGGCGACTATTGTTCTCCAAAACTCAGGGGGTGGGTCTTGGGTGTATGGCGGTTCCCAACCACTCAATTCCAGCCATGAATTTGGAATGCTCCCTCCTTGAGACGCATCTCTGACCTCGTCAATCTCATCCACTTTGAACCCCGTAACATAGAGACTGTAATGTCCCATGCGAGGTCTCTTCTTAAACCTGAGGTAGTCAAGCTTCACAGTCTCGGTTTGTGCGGCGCTGTAGTTTCTGTGCCCATCTTGCGGCCACCCAACCAAAGGGTCTGCATTTGCTCGTCCTGTCTTCTTGAAGTCTCTGTGCGCATCTTGTGCCCACCCGGTCACAGGGTCTACATTTGCTCGTCCTGTCTTCTTGATCTGCATGCCAGGGTGGCGATAAATCTCGAACGGTGCATTCTTAGCACGAGGTACCCATGACGGAAGAGCAATGTCTTTGATTGGCTCCATCTGGTTTTTATCATCTTGGTTCTGTTTCTTCTCTTGCGCTTTCCGCTTCCGTGAATCTTCGCAAAGCTTTCTTGCTCTTCCCGAACTCCACTTTATGCTCTTCTCAATGAGCCATTTTCGGTATTCCTCGTAATCACTGTATTTCTGTTTCCATTGGGGGCTTCGCTCACATGTAAGCCTTGTTGGTTTTTCAGCCCGGTCTGCAGGTGCCTTTCTTTTCTTTTTCTTCACTCTAGCCGAACTGCCGAGCTGGGGCTCCAACGCCCATGGACGACATAGTATGTCTAGAGCCTGGACTGGATCATGTGCGTTCTTTCGCCAAATACAGAACTCCATGAAGTCTCGACAGACGTCTGAATATGGTCTAGTGTAGTCGACTAGAAACGGTTTCTCTGCAAGGAACCCCTGGAAGAGCGATAGCAGAAACGGCAAATCTGCATCATTGGTCGACCTGACAGGCTTGATGACTGACGCCGCATTCGTCGCGCCGGGGACTTCGTCTATGGCGTATGTTATTGTATCCGAAGCGAATGGTGCTGCGTCTCTAGCGATAGCTAGCATAGAGTACACAGAATCTCTGCATTCGCTTGCTTTGAATATGAACATCGTCGTTACTAGATACTCCAAGCTGAGAAGGCTTCTGCGATCCAATGGATCAATTGTCTGTATGCTATCGAGCGACTCAGCCCGCTCGTCATGCTTCTGCTTGGCGGCCTTCTCCTTGGCTTTTGCCTCCTCGGTAGCTTTTTCTTCGTCGGTCATTTTGGTGTCAGGGTCCTTGTCGTCCACTTCGTTTCTGTCCATGGGTGTTCCATAACTACGAAAAACCTTGCCCGTCGCTTGTACCAGAAGGCTGGCTCCAAGTTGTGAAACATACTCAAACCAGCCCGGTACGTGCCGAAATTGTACGTCCTTCTGAATTACTTCCGATAGCCGATGTGTAGCGCTCTCAACCTCCACAAAAAGCTCCACGGCAACAGCAAATTCTTTCCATGGCATTGAGTCAGGCCCGCACCATATCTCAGCTTTGTTTGCTAGAGACAGCTCTTGAACAACCCAGCGGCGGGAGAACCATTCTCGCTGCATAAGGACCATTAGTGCCTGCCACTTGATGCCGTAATCCTTATCTGAGCTGATTGAATCAAAGTCTTTCAGGTGCGTGATTTCTTCCTTGATGAACTTGAATGCAACCTCACTCTCGTTGTCTTGCTGCCCAAGCCAGATACAGACATTAGCAGCTCGAGTGTAGATCCTGGACATCATCTGAACCTGTTGGTTTCGTTCGACGTCGTTCTCCTGGTCGATACAAATCGCGTCAATCCAGAGAATCCTTGGCCTCCCTTGGTGGCGAAGGTATTTCAGTGCCAGGGCCAGGTCTCTCCTCACTGGCATCTTATAGGACTCGTCACCCTTCGTCACCAATACCACGTAATCAGAGATAGCCCGACCCCAACACCATGACAATGCTTCGTACTCAATTTCAATCCTCTCAACTGATTCCAACTCCTCTCGCAGAATTCTGCCCTTCAGCCCTTCGAATGTGATCTTGAGAGATCCCACTTCTTCCTCGATCACTCTCAGTCTCATCTTTGCTCGCGTTTCCTCCATCGCTCTCGGTCTGTCTATCACTCTCGTATTCCATGTACCACCCACCGTTTGCCATACAGGATTTGCCAGTTGCCATACGCGCGCCGTATTCCACCATGTAACATCTAATGCCTTCATTTCTATTTCCTTCATTTCCTTCATTTCCTTCACTAACGGACTCAACCGCTGTTTCACTTCTTCCAGTTCTCGTTCGGCATCTGTCTCGTTTCGCTGCTCAGGCTCACGAGATTCGGAGTCATCCCACTCGCGACTCACACGTGTGGGGATATGGAAGGAATTGTCGTAAGCCGCTTCGAAAAGCTCACATTGAATGGAGTCCTCGCGATCACCCGAGTTGAGGCGCATGAGACGAATCATCTTTGGCGGTAGAGGATTGTAGACGTATTGCTTCAATGGCTCAAAGCGCGGGTCGTCGAAGCGAAAGAGCGAGCTTGCGCTTCTGTCTGTCCTTTGGAGAACATAGGTTTCATCTCCAAGTACGAGGGAATTGGATGTGCTGCTGAACTTGGCCCATGCAGACATAATGGAACGATTTGTATGCTGAGTTGATAACGTTTCCCGATGGTGATCATAGAGAACACTGAATACCACTACGGTTCGTGATTAAACTGGATCGATGGGCGTGGGTCAGATCGAGGTGAGAAGACAGGGCTCGCTATGCGAAGTTACTTAGGCATTCATCGCTCGTATCAACGCGAACCTCTCAGCTTGAAAAAGCCTGTTTCTCTCTACGACCGCCGCAACAGTCCTGGGAAGAGCCAGGCCACAGCAATTGCTGACCGCTTTCCTCTCGCAGGCAATAAATGTTGTGCCACGCTCCTTCCATTTCCGGCGCACATCAACTCCAAGAACATATCACTCATACAGCTACTCACATCATAACCGCATCTGATTGGATCTCCTAAGATCGGCGAGGTGAGGTTCTCATCTGCGGAGTTCGAGGTGGGAGTTCCCATTGCAAGCAGACCAATCTGATCTTGATGCGAACGCCCTGGGCGCCAACATATCATTCAGCCAGCCATCAGCCCGATGAGGCTGACCGGACTGCACTTCAGCTCTCAGCTCTAGCCGCCGTGCCATGGTCTTACGGGTTTATGCTTGTCATGATGCTCCCCACCTTGGCTGAGCCTGATATTGCAAATCGAGGCATTGCCCTGTCGACTGATGATGTTTGACCGCGCTGAGAATATCGCAGAGGCTTTTGGAGTCTTTTGGGACTGGATGCGTAGTCGATGGAGTATGCTTGATACAATTTGCTAGTAGACCACATAGACTTCGGGTTGCTTCTCCATAGGCGACCTTACTCAGCTTTCGTATAGACGAGCAGGAAGCTTTCACCTCAAGCGACATCTTATCTACACACGGGTGGGATCGCTCGCGGGAGGTGCGCAGGTTAGACCAATCACGGAGTTGCCTCTAGCCGGTCGGCAACTGTTGTCCTCGGAGCTTGCGTCGACAATTTTCAGCCTGATGACATCTGGACCATCATTTCCTATCCTGTACAGCGTAGGATTACGCCAATCGAGACCACGAAACGTGGTTAGCGATGCGTATTACTTCATCGCCCGCTTAACGGATAACCTCGTATCTCGCAGCACGCGACTTTGGCGATCAAGGTCTTGTTTCCTACAGTCCTTCTTCATTAAAGCCAGAGGCAATGCAGACAGAAGATTCGCTACTCTTGTGAGAAAGCTGCCAGGGCAGATCGAGTTTAGCCGGGAACCGAGATTATCGATGATACGCATGGGAACAACTGCTGTCTAACGAATCGATGAGAGCATCTCCCGTGCACAGCCTGCCTCGAATCTTCCTCAAATATGCGCGGCGATTAGTTCATCTAGAGCTATCGTAGCCTCGACCGTAGCATCCACGGCCTTTTGGTCCGAAAGTCTTCCAGATTCCCTGAAGTTTTGGAACCGGCCCTTCCAGAATCGCAGTCGTTTGACATCCACTGCATTGGTACCGCCTTCAGCCTCCCATAGACTGCCAGAGATGTAACTGTACTTGCTGAAAGGAGACCCTGCAGCCACCACTTGTTTGCCCGCAATCATCAACCAAGCCGCCGCTGCGTGAACTGCAGCATGTGCATCTCCATCGTAGTTTGTACCAGGACCATGCTCCAGTGAATCGAAGGTCGCAAAGGCAAAATCGACACAACTGCGCAGCGGAGATGCTTGTGGCGTATCTTTTCGTGCTATTAGAGCTGCGAATGTGTCGACGTTGGTGTACATGTCTTCGGATTTGCAAGATGGTAGCTGGTCACCATCGTGTTCATTGCCAGAGACCTGGCGGAACTGGAGGAGCCTGCTACGCAAGTCGTCCCCAATCCAAGGAGTAAAATTTGGTAGCCCAGTCCATAGTTCTCCTCCCGATTGACTGTGCAGCTTCATTCCTCTCCCCTGGTTGAACCGCGATAGAACCCTCTCCAAACACCATTGGTTTGTCCGTGTTGTTATAAACGCCGAGTAGATTCGCTAATTCGACTGTGAGATCTGACAGTATCTGGAGGTGTTTGCGAGATGAAAGCTCTCGTGCGGCTGAGAATATGAGCATAAGGATGTCGCCATAGGGGTTAGCGATGTCGTAGCAGGTATCACGGTCTGATACTAAATGCACCCAGTCACCGAGTCGCTTTGCTGCTATTCCTGCAGGATCGTTTTCGTGTAATACGTCCTGGTAGATCTGTAACAATGCCAGCTAGGAGGGTGCAGGCTCAGGATATTCCACGAACTCCGCAGAGGGGCCTGCCTGCCGCTGGCGTATTTCGTGGAAGAGCGCAATCTTGGAAGTTGCTGGAATTCTTTCTTCTTCCACGCTTCAGTCATCGTTGTCGCAAATCGTTACTCACATGGTGGCGCATGTTGAGTGAGAGCTGATTGCGAAGGTCTCGAAATTATCGTGAGTGACAGTTGCGGACGGCCTGTTCACTTGCCGTGCAACGCCACCTGGGCACCATGGCAACAACGTGATCCATGATCGTAGAGTGGCCCCACCAGTCCAAAAGACGAGACGACCAGAGACTTCTGCTGAGATTCGGAGCTCCTCACCCAGCATTTGAGCTTGGCGAGCGCCTTTAGGCCACCACAGCTTGGAGGAAAATGCGGAGGGCATACGTCACATGACTGCCAAGCACGGCCGATTCCGGGGTATAATCATGAAGTTGGCGTGGTGCACGCGTATCTCGCTTGTTATCGAAATGGAGTGCGATGTTCATCTTTCACATTAACACTTGATCTTTCGGATGAAGCAGTGAGGTCGGAGCCTGTGCGCTCACTACCTTCGATGGCGAAGTCTTCAATGCTAAGGCGTCGCTGTTAAGGCGTTGACGGTGAGGCGTCAATGTTGCGTGTTCGGCCGAGGGCCGTCAGGCCTCTCGTACAGTATTACCCCGCCGACCCTACACTCCAGGTAATTCAGATTGCAGCCTGTAAACGACACAAACATCGAATTCCTGTCCTCAAACATGGAAGAACTAAGCTTGGTTTCTGACGCTGATAACGTGCGTCGCATTAGTCTAGTACTATCAGATAACTCGACTCGCACGACACCTGGGACTAAGCTACAGCAATACCGGGCAAGCAGGAGTCAAGATGTCCAGCCTCAAAGCGCCACTGTCGGCGCTGCTGCAACGACGCTCTGTCATAAGTGCCGCAACATGCACTTCAAATCTTATGAAGACTGCTCACTCGAGTTGCAGGGAGCGGTCATCCAATCACCATACGCGTCACTATACTATCTGCATTCTCTGGGCCTTGACTCTCTTATACAGACCGCGGACTCAGGCTGCCCTTTCTGCAAGACTATTGCGCATCGTTTTTTGATGGATACGGAACTCTGGAATGATACGCGCGTTGCCGGGGAACAGATTGTCTTTAATCTTGCTCTCAACTACGACGATCAAGGGGTGGGAACTCCATGCTTCGACAATCTCACAGTGTACAGTTGCGAACGCAACTGGTTTTTTCAATGCGAGAGTCATCTACCAGGTAAGAATCTCTATCCACCCGTTCTGAAGTCTCATTGACAGACTGCTATCTGTAGTCGCATTTCAAAAGCCATTGGCGGCGTTAGCTTCACCAAACTCTGCGGCCGGCGATAGTAATGCTGAAGATCCGATGTATTCGTACTGGACAGACTCTTCGACACTATCAGAAGCAAACATGGAACTTGCGTCAACGTGGTCTCATTTATGCCTGAGCGAACACCTCGGCTGTGGTATCGACACAGAATATACCCTACCTACCCGCGTCATTCGTATCAAAGGGTCCCGAGATTTTGTCTTAGAAGACGGCCAGGAAAGAAGCCTTCCGTATCTTACACTAAGCTATAAATGGGGCGATACGAAGAGATACTGCACTTTGACTGAGAACATCGCCAATCATCAGCAGAAGATACCGCTTGAAGCCCTACCAAAGACCTTCCAGCATGCCCTGTTGGTTACAAATCGTTTGGGGTTCGAGTATCTGTGGATTGATGCACTTTGCATCATACACGACTCACCCGAGGACCTGCAAAATGAGATCAGCCAGATGGGCAGCATTTACCAAGCGTCAACAATCACACTGTTTGCGGAAGCAGGAGATGATTCTGGAGCTGGATTGTCCATTCCACGAGATCCTCGCACGTCCAAACCCTGCAAATTGGATTTTAGGGCGACCTTCAATAGCCGTGTGTTGGAAGTGTCGAGATATGCTTGTTATAACCCGTTCAACCTCTTACATACTGAATCAAAGCAGTCGCCTCTTCAGAAAAGAGGATGGGTCCTACAGGAAGAGCTCCTGTCACCACGACTTTTGAAATTTGGGTCTCGCCAACTAAAGTGGGAATGCCGACATTCTACTCTTTATGAGAGTCTACCTCATGATCATAAGCGCAACGCTACTATGCGCCCCAAAAATCATGAATTGCGTTCTTGGATGTACGACTGTAGAACTGCACAGGATTCGGACGGTCAAAGACGAAAGGATATGTTCACGTGCTGGTGCGAACTTGTTGAGAACTACTGCAAGCGCTCGCTCACGTACGCCAATGATGTTCTACCAGCCATTGCCGGCATTGCGAATGTATTTGCAAAGAATAACCAACTATCGTATATCAACGGGCTCTGGAAAGAGGACCTGCCTTTGGGACTACTTTGGGCCGTTCATAAAGGCGACAGTGCGCATACATCACATTCGTCTCATCAGCAAGCTATCGATAGACCAGACGCTCCCTCTTGGACCTGGTTATCGCAGTGGGGTAAATCCATTGAGTTCGAACAAAAGCAGTTGCGACATTGGGCTGAGTCCTACGATATAACGATCGATCAATTGGGCCACGCTGATAACGATCTCGAAGAGACGGCTTATGGTCGAGACGAATCGCCTTCAGATCAAACCATGAGTTTCCAACAAGTAGACACGAGACCGCTTCGATTTCGAGGTTATCTCATCAAAGCAGATGTAGAGCTAGGCAGTTGGTCACCTTGGTTTCCACAAGCGTGGGGACGGCGTGTGACCACGCGTCATACCCGGGAGGACATGGGACTTTTCTTCCCCGACTCAGATCCGTTCAAAGAGCCCATACTGGAGGTCACATGTTGCCTTTGTGTCGTGTGTGAGGATAAACATAGCGCTGCGTATATGTGGTTAGCCTTGGTGTCCACATCTCAGCCCGACGTCTACAAACGAGTCGGTATGGGCCGGCTCACTATTGACGACAAGACTCAGCCTTTGCCATCATATTGGGAAGCTGAGGGAAAAGTGACATTCACTTTGGTGTAAGAAGTGGTGAGCAATATATGATCACTTTTTCGAACGCGCGGGGCGCAGGTGGCGTGGCCTCGCCCTGCGCCCATCCCCGGCCTCCAACTCGCAGACCAATCCATCTCTTGACTGTGATGCACGGTGAAACAAGTAGAGGTTAGTTCTTTCGCAAACTTGAATATACTCTGCAAGGGCTCATTCCTACGTCAGCGTTCTCAGAGCCGACAGGACCTGACCCCGAGCCTTTCAGGCGTCCACGGGTTCCCGCAGTCCTGCGATCCTACATGGCCTGCGCGCGTCTCATGCTTATCCTTTGCCAACGATCGCTCGCGCAACACAAGACAAGCAAGCATGGCAACACAAGAAGAGAGCCAGTTGGAAGACTGTAAAGAATTCTTGCAGAAGTTTGAAAGATGGGCAGATCCGACCTGGGGCTTCTTCGTTTACGGCACCTATACGCGCCCACAAGGCCAGGAAGTCTCAAACGAAGATACAGATAGGGAAGACAGAGCAGGTCAGTGGAAAAGAATGCAGCCTATCGAGTGCAAATATTGATGAACAACAGATGCGACCGATGATGATGCGCACTTCCAAGCAGTGATCTGCAAGGTCTACGCCCACGCAACAGATAACCTGCGTTACAGCAACCCCGCGCCATACAACCAAAACATGATAGACCTCTTACGTCTTGAGCCTGCTGCTTATATGCCTGGCGCGTCGCTTGACGTCGTCTGCAGGCATTTCCGCCAGCATTATGCTCAAAAGGTCTTCCCGGAGACAATGGGTGAACCTGGGCCTCCTGCAATACAGGACGACATTCCCGATGAGGAGAAACTCGGTCCAAAGTGGGCCTGGTGTATAGTCATCGATGATGAGGCGCTTGAGAGTTTGAAGAACGGCCCCGAGCCCGTAGGAGATACGCCGCCGGAAGGCGTAAGTCCTCTTAAACTAGCATACAATGCTAAAGAAGCATTTGTAAAGTTGCTATCTGGAATGAAGACGACGATGGAGGGGCCTGAAGTGATTGCTGCGGCAGGTCGTCCAGGTAGTGGATGTCCTCAAACAGTGTGGAATGGATGGCTTAAGTTCTCGCCTGTGGATCTTATGGGTGTTTGGATTCAGGCGGAGAGCAACGGTATCATTGATCAGTTTTACGGGGAGGATAAGCTTTTCGACTGATAATCGTCGAGGGTGATGTGCTGCATATGCGATGACAGCTTGGGTACGTACACTTGGCACTCCAATCGATCAAATCAGATCCTCTAGGCAACCATCCTTCCTTCAAGGATAGCCGATATAACCGAACTCACCTAGATCATCCTGATAGAGTCATGTGAAAACTAACACAACACTCACAATGGCGCACCAGATATCACTGACTTCGGTAGGAGATAATCCAGTGAGCGCGTATCGGTGGCGATGCTGACTTTTCGAAGGGCCACAAACTGCATCCAGATGCAACAACACTGACATGCCCTTACACCTTCTTAGTGGCCGTTACACCAAGATCATCGACCATCATGAGCTACGGTGCACCTTCAAGCCCCTGCACACAGTTGCATACACAGCTCACGCCTGCTCAAATCCGACTCATCCAGTCCCATGAAGACTTCGGAGAAGTACGCGTCCCAGTCAGCGAATTAAATCTCTCAAACTTCCTGCGCAACCAGATCGATCTTGAGGCTTCATCGCAAGACACAGCGATGGTATCGAAGCTCGTTGCCCGATTGCGAGACGCAAAAGCTGGCGATGAAGATGACGGTGGCGATGAAGGTGGCCACAGCGTCTTGGCCCATATCCTGAGCTTCACAGTTCTCGGTGATGAAAGTGGGGAGCTGGCCCCAGAGGGCCGCATGTTACTGTGGAAATGGGCTAAACCTCACAGTCAGTACCGGAAGACAGGCTCCTGGAGCCATAGCTTGACACAGGTCCTGGTCGATGCCGAGTGGAACACTGGTAAAGATGTCACGATGTACGTGAAGGCTGTTGAAGAGGAGGAGTATGAGAGGGTGTTGAAAGGCGAGATGAAGACATAAGCGGCGTTCACTTGAGATGAGACCGGGTAGCGTAAGGTGTCTTGATGTGAGACACCTGGATGTTGAGACAGGAGGAAGGAGCGACTGTGCTTTCTAGTAACAGCTCCTTCCGGGAAGGCGCTATCCTTGATTAGTGCTAGGCTCACCACGTGTCAAGGGAACGTTCCTTCCGTCACTCATTTTCAGTTCAGAAGCGAACGGCAGAATTATGCATACAACACTAATACAAGCGTTGTCTATGAGCCTTCAATCAACAAGGACCCCATCTGTACATCCGTGACCAACTAAGCACATTCAAAAACGTGAGCAAAAGCACTCATCTCGCCGTCTTTCCAAGCCAGACCCAACTACCCACCTCACGAACCACTACTACGCTTCCGCAGCAGCGGCATCGACGGCATCTTCGTCAACCGCCTAACCTTCGCCAACGCCTTCGGACTTGGGCTCAGGCTCACCGTCGGCGTCTTATCCTTCGCCGCGTTTTTAGACTCCGCAAGGACCTCACCCGTACCAGACTTGTGTGGCACGAGGAAAGAGTCGAACGTCGTCGCTGGGTTAGCGCGGAACCGTACTTCTTGGTTTAGAGGGCTGCGTACATGGTTCGAAGAGCTAGAAGATGAAGGGCCTGATGGGCTTGCTAGAGGCGATATACGACGGGTGTTGTATGCGCTTGTGCGAGGGCTGGACGGCTGGTAGAAGTAGTCTCCGCTGCTAGCTGCACGAGCGTGTGAGTAGCGACGGTTGCGCGGCTCTTCGTACTCAAAGGGTTGTGCAGTTGGTGTTGACCGGGGCAGCGGAGGTGGCAGCATAGAAGAGCGAAGGTCGTATGTCGACTGAGAAGACTGCCAAAACTGTGTGCGACTATGTTCCTCATCCTTCGTATTGTCAGTTGTCTTCCTAATCCGAGGTATGTGCAACTTATTACGCACCTTCTCCTTCGTCTTGGCTACAGCGGGCTGGCTTTGCTGCATCGCGTGCTCAATCTCTGAGAGCGCGAACATCTTCTCTTCCAAGGGCATGGCCTGGGGTATCAGGCCCCTGCGATCTCCATGGTGAGTGAAAAGGCGCTCGTCCGACCACTCTTGGAGGTTGTGGTTCTTCTCGCCTCGTGCGAGCGCTTCCAGGTCCTCTACAGACAGCGCCTGAGCGTAGTAGCGTGGTTTCGGCGCGGGGTCCTCCCATGAGTAGACCGACATAGAGTCGCTTGAGTAACGGTGCGCGCTTGAGTCTGTGAGGCGGTATCGAGGTTGCGGGCTGGTGCTTGTAGAGCGATTAGTCGCGTTGCTAGTCACGAGAGGCGTCAAGAAGTCGGTGTCGAGTGGACCAAAGTGCTCTTGCAAGGAAGAAGTGAAAACAGGTACTGCCACTGGCTGCTCAAAGGGCTCACTCAAATTTGCAGCGACATTGTACGAGGTAGAGTCCTCTGTGCACCCTGAGATTGTGTGGGTCAAAGGCTCCCGCGGGATCGCATCAAAAGAGAAATCTGAAGCCGCATCAGAGTCATCCACTACGCGCGACCAGTTTTCATCGACAATTTCATCATCACATGCCTTCATCTTCCCTTTCGCAGACGCCGTAGGCCGTGGGTAGCCCATGAGCACGGTCGACACTCTTTTCGAGACTTGTGAGGTGAAAAGAATATATTTGTATTTCGCAAAAGCTCCTCCAAAATAGGTACGTGTGATGGGTTGGAGATGCGTGCAAGATTGACCTCGCAATAATGAAGACGCCTTTCTTGGAGCAAAAGATACCTTCTTATATGCGCGCGGGCAAAAATCAGTGTGAAAACCCATCGTCTGTACGATGCGCTTCTAGGGTAGAGGAGCCTCCGTCATTCACAATGAATGATACCTTGATGAGTGAACAGAGCAAGACGCCCAGAGAGCCTTGTGCGAGGCACCGGCCCACCATTCACTGCCATCTCCCTAGCTCCTCTAATCTCATGCTGGGCCTTCTGCCTTCGCTTTTTCTTCATGCATCTTTCTCTTCTCTTCCTCGGGTGTTCACTGCCTCCTCGCGGATGTGTAAATAGCTGCCATACAGCTCACTTCCGACACTTGCCTTCTCTTCGTGCGATGCATCAGCCGTGGGAGTATCGACATGGCTTCCGAATGACATCGTGTGTCAGATGTCTCAGTTGTGCGTCGCCGTTTGGCGTACGAATGTTTGATGTTTTGCGTCCTATTATCCATCGCATTGTTCATATGTAAGCCCAGTAGAAAAAACTGAAGAGCATGGTAGCGGCGCCCATGTATGCGGATGGAAGAGGTGTGTGCCGAGTTCCGAGAGAGGTGGGGTCGAATACGGGTCTACGGTCATCGTTAGCTCACGTTCCTGACTTGGCGTAACTTCTGAATAAGGCAAGAATATCATCGGTACGCAATCTGCCGGCATATGACAGGCCGCTTGGTTAGAGAGGGTGTGGACTTACTGCTTCAGGTGCAGACCCATGTCGTCGATGGCATCACACTTTTGCCACTCAGTCTCGGGAATAGCTTCCATGGCCACTTCATTTTTGTCGTTGAAGCTTAATCGCTGCCCTTCACTTGCGCCGAATGAGTGCCAGTCTGGGCTTTGGAGCTCTGAACCTTTGGAGACTAGATACTCTGCAGCGTGTGTGTTTGGGTCATAGCTTCGTATGAATGATGCCCAGTACGCCTGGACAAAGACACCAGCCGCTGAAGTGGCATTATTCCAGATTGGTAGGAGCTCGCCAACGTGCGATGCGGTTCCAACATTCCATCGATACTGCCAAGTCGGGTTCGTATTATTGAGGGCGTACGTATCGGTAATGTTTAGACTGGGACAGTTGTAGCGGATATAACCGTAGACATCAGCGGTCAATGATCTCCAGCGGGCGTCGCCAGTGGTTCCAATGTTGCCATCCCAAAGCTGACGAATCGTGTCCCATTTTATACCGGGGTATTGATCAACTAGGAAGTCTTGAGCTCGAGGTTGAGACATGATACTTTTTGCCACGAAGTTGATCCCGTCGTTTGTGGCGGTACCGAAAATAGTAGGCACGTTGACGAAGTGGCCAGCCTTCAATTCGTTAAAGGTGAAGTCTTTGATGAAATCGTAGTCCAATGTCGGGTTCCAGAAGTAAAGCGGTGGGTTCTTGCCGCCTGGGAAAGGCTTCAGGAGAGTACGCACAGCATCCTGGAAGATGACTGCATCCAAGCTGGCCATGCAATTGAGATCCGCGCATCCGGTTTGGTGTAGTAGCTCATCATACTGCCATTGGCTGTTCTCGACATCTCGCATTGACGGAAAGGCTGGAGATTCGGCAGCAGCGGCGTGGAAGAGGCCATCGTCTCGACCACCGTATGCGGTAAGTTGGAAGACCACTGAACCCCCACCAGCACTTGCGCCTCCAATGGTAACGTGCCCCGGATCGCCTCCGAACTGCTGAATGTGCTTCTGAACCCATTCGAGTGCCTTCCTCTGATCTTTCAGCCCGTTGTTCAGGCTCAGGCTCTGGTTTGCAACGATCTCCTTGCTAGCGAGAAATCCATAAGGCCCTACTCGATAGTTGAAGTTGACCACAACCATGCCGTCGTCGCCGGCATCGATCAAGTCTGCACCGTTGTAATTTGCATTGCCGTTCATGTTGAAGCCGCCGCCTTGAATGAAGACGTAAACCGGCAACATGCTTTTGTTGGTAGCTCTTTCTGGTGCAAAGACGTTGACGAACAGGCAGTCTTCCGAGTGTTTCCCTCCAAACTCGGCTGTCAGGCTGCTCTTGGTGCCGATACATAGGGGTCCAAACTAAACTGCTGTTAGCGTGGTGTCCACAAACCGTGAAAACGCTGTGTACCTTTGTAGCGTCAACAACATTGCGCTCATCTTCGGGATCTTGAGGTGCAGCGAATCGAAGTCCATCTGAACGGATTGGCCTGCGCGCATACCGCATACCAGCCCATCGTATGACACCATTGCCGATATCTTTCCCACGGTATTGCGCGTATCCAAGGTCGATGGTCTCCTTCAATGCGAGGGCCTGCTGAAAGAAAAGCGCTGCACAAAGCAGCAAACGAAACATTGTCGACAGCTGTGTGAGAAAGCGAGGAAAGAAAGGCAGCCGCAAAGTATCTTGACAATCTGTATCGTGTTCGGCCGCGCTGCCCCCTGGTTGTCGCCGAAGGGTCGTTCCGATACGAGCTATGCTATAGTGCGGCAGGGCTATGGTAGATCGTTGTTCTAGGGGAACGAGATAGAAAAACAAAGGAAACTTGACAATCGCATCATAGTTTCATAGCGGGAACTGACGTGCGAAGGTACACTATTTCCGAGGCGTTAGCATTCACGGGTGGCGTCTGTTGGCACTGTGTGAGTACATACCGTGGGAACAATCAGTGACATTAGCATCGTGCTGCTAGCAAACGTAAGCTCGAGGGCTGAGTCGGTGGTAGGACAACTCAGGTCCACGTCACAGAAGGGCGGACTCCGCGGGTATAAAAGAGCCCGGGCGACTTTGTTGTTGGTCTTACCTAGGTACCTATCGCTGCATTGCTCAACACGTACCGCCGCCAGCCACAGCATCAAGCCAGGGTAATTCGAAATCCAGACCATTCGCATGCATGAGGATGCGACAGACACTGTGACTGGGTAGCCCTAGTCCTATGGAAGTGGATAGTGCTGACCAGGGTGATTTACCGACAGGTCGTAGCGCGCGCTGACGGTGTAATTACACCGAGACCATTGCTGCACGACTCCAGGGCTGTGTTTCGTTGGACACTGAGGCCCGCGGAACTCAATCCGGATTGAGGACAGCGATAGGGGCAGTTGGGGGGATGCAGCATGATGGTTAGCGTTGGACGGGACGGCAGATGAGGATTGACGACAACAATGAGATCAGATCTACGATAGAAGAGCGGCTGGCGGGCGGCCAGCGTTGATGATCAGAAAGCCATGTGGGACCTGCAGCTAAATCCATGATGCGAAAGCTTGATCACTCCAAGGATGATAAGCGACATCCTTGCCGGCTTTCCCCCCAAAGG